CGACGGAACAGGGCAAAAAAAAAAAAAAAAGGAACACTCTTCGTCCAAAACATCAGCAATGTGTTTGACCTAGTTCTTAGTCCAGTTCGGGTAGCTTTCTCCTCCACGGCTTGAAAAGGGTGTCCCACACACGTTGTGCCACAGCACGGAGACTTGCCAGTCGCCTGCGTAGTGCCGCTTCAGGTTGCGGAAGTGGGAGTAGAGGCCCAGCCTGAGGGTCTGTATGGGACGAGGTGGTGGCGTGTACCATGCCGGGACCGCGTAGTGTGACGGAGCGTGTCGAGGGTGGATGGATGAATGGGATAATGGGCTCAGCTCCGCCAATGAATGCAGTGGCCTTCATCGCCTGCTCTAACTCTGAGTCAGACCAGCGCAGATGGAGTTGGGAAAGTTGTTGCACTCACTTTGTTGTCGGGTTTTGGAGGGAAATGAAGAGTATACCATGTTTATGTTTATAAGAGCGGGGTAAAGGAGTGGATGAGAGACGCAACGAGAATGCAAAGCAAGAGTATGTGTGTAGTTGTAGTCGAGTTGGTTACGTGCGCCCTCAGGGAACATGTCTGTAATGGGCCAGCCTTATAAGAAGACGATGGAGACTGGGGTCAGCATGTGTTCCATGCACTGGCCGTGGGGAGATGCGGAACATGATAGCCTTGCGGTCTTCACCGTTGCAGTTACATGGTTGACGGTTTGGGACTGTGGCGCTATTCCCGTAGTGAGGAAGGAGTTCCTAGAAACAGAGACGCGGTCAGACTGTGAGCGGTCGAGAATGGGAAGGTGCAACCCGATGACAAACTCTTAGACGGGACCAGCAGACCAAAGTTACCTGCTATAGACAATCAGTATGACAGATTGAGTAAAAAGAAGACACTTCGCACCTGATCAGCCCAGTATGCTCCTATGCATGACAGGTAGAACGGACCCTTGACCTGCGGATGCCGTTTGTGAGCGTATGGTCAACACCAGGTAGGTCTGAACACCATGCCCAGTAGATCATTAGACGTACCAATTTAGGTATGTGGGCCACAACTAGAGTCTCAGCTATTGAACCCATGAGTTATTATCGTGATAGAGCACGATATAGGGGCCCTGATTGAGCTATGATAGGTCAGTGATCATCAGCAGACGGTGACATCGGCTTTGTCCAGCCACAGACGTTGTGCCCATGCATTACTACATACCATTTCCACAGTGAGACATGAGGGTTTGATCAAAATAGACTATAGCCAAGTGTGGGTGATCATCGCGAATTCTGACCTCTGGCGCTCCGTGCGCGGTCCCGAGGACCCAAACATGCACGCTCATCATGGCGGGAGAAGAAAGGCGCGCGGGTCCGGCAACAGCCGTGAGATCCGACACGTCACACCGGCGGTCACTCTGACCAAACCATCACCAGCCACCATCGAATTCTCAAAGACGGCGTTTTTTGATGATACTGGTAACAGAGAAGACTGGTGCTTGCTCTGTAGAGCAAGTGGGAGCATAATACTGATTGGCCTTCTGGGGCTTGGCTCACTGACTGTCAACGACCACTCGGTTTATCGGCCCTATTGTAACGGTTGTAAGTACGCACAGCGGATCCGCTGTCATGGCCGGGGGCAGGATGCAGGGTCATCATGCCCCGCTAGCCCTGTTAGCATCTCAAATACCGTCTCTGTGGCTCTGACAGAATTTTGGGTAAGCATCCGCTTCATTGAGCCATCTGTTCTCATGGCGGTAAATGAAAAATACGGGTCCGACACAAGGACGCGCCGCGCAGTCAACTTTCTAGACCCGAATCTGGACACTCCATCATGCTGCGTGTCACTGTAGGCCCGGCCGGTGCGTTAACCACCCTAACTCTATCTCTATCTCCTGTACGTCTTTTGACACGTTCTGACACGTTCTGACAGGAGTGTGTATGCCAGAAATGTGGTCTCAACGTCTTGACTGCCCCACAACCCAGAGCCTATGCTTCAGGAACTTCATTTCAGCCCATCCGTCCATGGCTTTCTGTCCAGTTGGTCTCTCCTTACACGGATATGGTAGTATACTCGTCATCTCTGCGCCATGCCTCAACCTCCGCGTTGCTCCCGCCCATGTTCCGATGTGATCCCTGCTATGGGCTGTTGTCAAGGCGCTCTTTTACGTGCACTGCTTGTGCCGAGGCTGTGGTACATTGCAAAACGACTCCGTGGGACACATGGGCCGTGAGTGTGAGCGTGAGTTTTCCGTTTCTGCCTATAGGGAATTGACGTCTCTCTTTCATGCACGACGCCCACCTCTTCCCTCAAGGTAGAACTCCTGGTTTTGTTCAACGTCACTGCTGCAATTCCTTCCACATCCCATGTGGGGACAACGGCTCCTTCACGAGGACCCCCGAGCTCAGTACAAAGCTGAGTTGAGGGCGCATGCTGGTCCCGTTGATATGACCTTGGTCCAGCTCAGGCGGGAGCGCTGTAAAAGATTCTTTCATCCATCTCCGAAGATTCAGATTTGCTATGACATCTCTGGCATGGATGCCGGGCGCCATGTTATCCGGGTTCGCCCCATTTCCAACCTATGCACATGCGCTTGCTCACGGTCATATTAGTGCTCAAGACCGCACCCCGGTGACATACAGGGAGGCGGCGCACTCCATGAGTTTGTGTCTCCCCCTCTCGTCCCAAACCTCCTTCAAGAGCTGAGGGATCGAAGACTTGCTCGAGAGCTTCAGCGAGAGGTTCATATTCTAGATCAACGTCGTACTGATCCGCTGGTGAGATCTCTACATGGAACTACATCCTTATTCCTCGCACATGAGCACTGACATACCTTAAGGTCTCTGCCAGCCATCCCTATGTGAACCCGGAGCATTCTATCCGACGCCGTACAGTCCCATACTCGCCAGGATCTGCTAGGCCGCGCCATGCGCGTGGACACCTTCGCAATGATACCGTCAATACTGGCCCTTCCCAACTTCGCCCACGCAGTCCTAGTATTGAGATCCTGGAGCCCGAGACACTCATGCTTTGGTTTTTTATTGAAGTATGTACTTCACGCTGTCTAGGACTACAGGATATAGCTCATGCTTTGTGCACGAAGGATGGAAAACCCCCAATGACGCTACGTTTTTCAATTCCGGTGGTGAAGAGAGCTGCATTCAGTCTGGCCACTTTCACTGGTGAATGGGACAAAGTCGGTGTGAGGCCGGGTGATATCTTGAGAGTTCTAGCTCTATCAAGTGAGCGGCTCCCTATATGGGTGCCCATTCTCTTAGCAGACCTCACCCCTCCCACCGGGCTTAAGACCATTGTTGCTGCGCATACCCGAGTTAAGACATTCCATGCACAACTGGACAATTTACGGGATTCAGCTATTATAGGGTTTCCGTAAGAATATCTCATTAATACTTTGGTGCACAGCCAACCCACGCGTACCATACGACCCCCTTCCTCGATTTGTCTCCTTTGTATACCGGTTGTCGGGACTTATCTGCCAGGCTATGGGGTGTCAAAAATCATAGACATGTCTACATTGTGCACGCACCGTCTTCAAACCGAATGGAGGGCATGGCAAAAGGGAGGGTAAGGGTTGAGTCAAAAGGGAAGTCGACTTGGTCGACTTGATCACACATCAGACTGAGAAATATCAACGAAGAAGGCATGTTTCACTAGGTACGTAGGAATACATATGTACGATACTGGGTAGATGGTGGTGGACCGCAGGGAAGACGCGGAACGAACCCGGTATCTTTGTGTGGGCTTGATGGAGAACCTGACGTGGAGCTCGGTGATGCCGCCACGTGGCTCGGATTGCCTTGTTGCGAACGCCAGCGCGACTTCGATCTCGACCTCGACTATGGCTTGCATTCCCTTTGTGTTGCCAGCCCTCCGGCGCCGGCGCCCTATCCACTCACCTCAGCTGCTCTGCAGCCGAAGGGTGGCATGGGCTAACACAAACCTCCCACAGCAGCCTAGTCCAGCGTCGAGGGCATACTCCATGAACACCGAATGTGAACTGCACTCTCAGCCGCAGCCATGCCGTTGCCAACGCCAGCGCGACTTCGACCTCGACTATGGCTTGCATTCCCTTTGTGTTGCCAGCCCTCCGGCGCCGGCGCCCTATCCACTCACCTCAGCTGCTCTGCAGCCGAAGGGTGGCATGGGCTAACACAAACCTCCCACAGCAGCCTAGTCCAGCGTCGAGGGCATACTCCATGAACACCGAATGAGAACCGCACTCTCAGCCGCATCCGGTAGCTGAACATCCTTCCGAAAGGACAAGATCAACCCCGGAATGCATAAAGCCATAGTGGACTATGTCCTCGTCAACGATAGCAGGAGGCGCTCGGCATTGCCGAGCCGCGGCGTCGGGTCGCCTCAGAGGTGGTACGCCATTGCGAGCAAAGTCCAAAGGCGGCAGCAAGTTCCCATCCGCTCGGGGGTCGGGCCGCGCGCTGTCAGTGAAGTTGCGCGTTTGTGCGTAGACGCGACGGTCGACTTGCGAGGGGACGTAGCGTCTGTAGTAGAGTTTGGCTGTAGTGACTGGGCTAAGAGCACGCGAGGAATCGAAGTCCTGAGTGGACTCCACTATGAGCGACGTGGGAAAGGTGCTGCTCGTCGAAAACCTGGAATGTAAACGGCGCCGACGCGTCGACGCGTAGGCTTCTCGCGTTTTTCGTCC